GGGGAGGAAATCTCCCCAAAACCAAGCAGGAAAACTCCACTGCGTTGCCCCAGGTGGAGCCTGGGCCCTGCTGCTGCCATGCCTTGGGAAGGGCTCTCTGTGTCCTTCCTTCTCCCTTCCTCTTTCACTTCTCTCCCAGCACAGGAAAGGGCTCTCCGGGGGTACCAGGCTGACAATAACTGCCTGGCCAGGGCCTGGATGGGCCATTGGAAACCCTCAGCATTGTTTTCCCCGCTCCAGGCGGCGGCAGGGGATTAAACCTCCAGCCATTATGCGCATGTTTTGTGCTCCATTGTGCTGCCCTCAGCCGTCCCTCTGCATTACCATCCGAACAGGTCACACTTCCAGCCCAGCGCCGGGGCCTCCTTCCTCCCTGCTGTGGCTTCCTCCCCTCGAGCCCCCTGCCTTGCCCTGGGGCCGCAGGGCTGAGCCGGCCGCAGGTCAGGCTGGAGCCTGCGGTTCTGCAGGGTCCCGGCCATCCCTGGCCTGTGGTTCTGCGGTGCCTGTGCCCCCAGGAGCGTGGCACCAGCGGGGTCCCCTCCCAAAGGGCACGGGCAGGCCCTTCCCAGCCTTGTTTGGGAGCAAGCACATCCGTGCTCACTGCTGGGTGCTGCAGGGAGCCACAAACGCCTTGGCCGGAGGCAGCAGCAGCAGCACCGTGGCCAGGACATCACCTGAAACCCCTTCCTGGCACCAGTTCCTAAGCGGGAGGGAGCTGGGGATGCTGGGAGAGGCAAAGCACCCGCTCTGCCTGCGCAGTGCAATGATCCCGAACACAAGGAGCCCCAGACCTGGAGCCAAGGCCGCCCTTGTGCCTGGCCTGGCCCACACAGAGACCTTGGGATAAAACCCATGGGAGGGAGAGCACAGAGCAGCGAAATCCTACTGGAGGCCAACAGCCAAGGCCAGGGACTGCAGCAGCGGGGGCTGCTCTGCGCTGCTTCGGGCAGGCAGCATCTATTTCTAGACATGACTGATCTGAGCTGTGTCTGTGCAGGAGGGCTCAGGAGCCTCAGCCCAAGCACTGTGAACAAGGTGCCTGTGTCCCCCCCAGAGGCTGAGGCACAGGGATCCATGTGCCCTGGTGCCCCTGTTGGAACGCTGCCTCCTCCCTATTCCACACCCCCAAACGGACCCCACTTTAACAAGGAACAAAATATCCTCCCCATCAAACCCCCAAGCATCCCCAGCTGCCTCTGCCACTGCCTCCAGTTCCAAGGAGTACGGAGGCTGGGTTACTTGCTGGATGGGTGCAAGCATCCCTTGGGGTTAGCACTGGGCTCACAGAGCATCCCCACATGCTCTGGGCAGAGACTGGAGCTCCTCACACGCAGAGCTGGGTGAGATGGGCCTGGTTTAGTGCAGGGAAGGAAACCACCTTGCTGTCCAACCACCTGCAGTCTCACGATGCTGGCTGCAGAGGGTTTTTAGGCCAGATTTGTGACTGCTGTCACTGAAGGAATGCACAAGTGCGCTCTCCCTGCTCTGCACACTCGCTCTGTCTGTCTAAGGGGACTTCTTGGGGATTCCTCCCTGCTGCTTGGCTCACAGGAATAAACCCACCCCATTCCTCCCTCTGAGGCATCACGGGGAGAGAGAAACAGGGAAGAATAACATTTACAGTGCAATCAACAGCCAGGGCTGGTGTCAGACCCAGAGCTGGTGAGCATCCCCCACTGAAACGGCTCCAGCTCATTTCTCATCTCTCAGTAGGCTTTGTGACAGCAACCAAAGCCTGGAAAGCCAAGAGCAGCATCCCAAAAGAGCTGTGAAGGAGGGAAGGAGGAGACGGTCTCTCACCACCACGCAGCAGCTTCCCCCTGCCGGGATGACACCGAATCCAGGCACCAAGGATGCTTCCTTCAGCAGGGAACGGAGCAGGGAACTCGGCTCTCCCCCAGCCCCAGCGAGGAGCGCGGTGCGAGCTCAGCTGCTCCGCAGAGGCAGCGTGCTCATTCCTATACACCTCATGGAATTAAGTCTCTCCCATCTGCTCCCTTCTGGAGATACCAAAACAAACAAGGGGTGGACGAGATCCAGAAATCCCCACAGTTTGGCCGGCCTGAGTTTTTAAGCACTGGCAGCATCTTTGCAGCCACGATCAGCACAGAGCAGCCTCAGTGTCAAGGTGGGGAGGCTGCTGTCCCCACTACAACCAGGATCCACACACGGGCAAGGACTTGGTGTCCTAGGCACGCATTCCATGGCAGAACGACCAGGATCTCCCCACGTGTCTAGCCTCACCCAGGATCATTTCCACATCGTTAGGAGCAGTTCCCAGCTCTCCCCATCGCAGCGCTTTGTGCTATCGCGTTACACTGGGCTTTCCAACGTCCAGTTTCTGACCTCAGCTGGGACACCGGGCTTATCCCAGAGGAATAAAGAGCGGCTCTGCCAGTGGGATGCCAAAGGAAGGGAACAGAGCTCCTGCTCGCTGCCCGTGTGCTCCGTTCCCAGCACCCCCAGGCGCACCCCGGTACTTGATGGCACAAAGTGGAGCCAGGAGAATAAACCCAGAGACAAACACGAGTCCTGCGGGATGAGGAGAGCTTTGGGTGCTATGGAGACGACCCTGAGCCACCTCCACGCTGGCACCACCTCTCCAGCAGCTGGAGCCTTGCATTCCGCAGCTCCCACTGCTTCACCCTATGGGGACCCGGGTGGCCCCTTGCCCAAAGAGGGTTCAGAGCAGCTCACCCATCCTCTTGCTGCTGCTCGGCCAGGCTTTGGGAAGCACCTCGGCCAGGCCTCGCTCCGCTGCTAATCCCAGCACAGCCACATGTGGGTGACGCAGTTTTTTTCCTCCTCGGGCACTAAAAATACATCCTTTGAGGCAGCTGCTGCACAAACAGGGCTCAGTCCCGAGCGCGGAGCCTGCCAGCCTTCCCCTTCTCCTTGCATTGAGCTGATTGCAGGAGGCAATCACAGCCCACGAGGGCTGCCCGGTACCCGGTGAGATGCAGGCACCAGCAGCAAGGGATTAGGGAACTTCACAGGGGCAAGAAACAGGGGCACCCCCAGCCCGTGCCCTCTCTCCTCCTCCCCAGGGGAGCCCCCAGCCAGGGCCACCGCGCACCCAGAGCCCCCCGAACCTCCCCTGACCCCTCGGGAAGCGACAGCCAGAACCTGCCGTGGTTTCCCTATTAACTCCCAGCTGCTTCCCTGCAGGGACTCAGGGCGGACCCAACCCCGGTGCCGTTCTCCCGCACCTAGAACCACACCAGGCCCCCCTAGGGAGCTCCGTGATCCCCCCCCGCCACCCCTGAGGAGGCAGGGAGCAGCCCCAGGAGCGCACAACCCGGCCCGCACCGGGATCCTCTCCACGCCTCCCGTTTGCTCTTCCTCCCCCGAACCCAGGGCAATGGGGAGGTTCCCTCCGCCGTAAACCACTTGGGAGCCACCGCGCCGCTCTTCCCAGGAGCCTGGGGCGCGATAGGAGAGCGACACGGCCCGTGCCCGAAGAGCATCCTCAGGCCAGCAGTGCCTGAAGAGCCCCGAGAGCCTCGGACACGGCACAGCGCTGCTCATGCACAGCACAAACACCCACTCCTCAGAGACCAAAGGAGCAGGAAAATGCCCCCGGGGACCGGGGCCCCAAAACAAGGCACAACCACGTCTGCAAGGGAAGAAGAGCGGGGAGCGGGGGACCCCCTGCGAGCCCCCCGCGGCAGCCCCAGCTCAGCCTCCCCCAGCGCAGGGAGGAGGAAGGAGCCCAGTCCCGAAGCCCAGAGCCGGGCCCAGGCCCCGCAGGCCCCCTGGGCACACACAAGGCCCCGGAGGCCTCATCCTGCCCCTGACCATAGGGGCCATGACCGGGGCTGCCCCCCCCACACAACGGGACCGGCCGCGCTGCTCCGCTCCCCACGACAGCCCCGGGGAGGGTGGGGGCGCGGGGCGGCTCCTCCCCGCGGTGACCGTGATGGGCCCGGCCGTGACCCCGCAGCGGACCGGAGCGGGGCCGTCACCTCCCGCCATGGCGGACCGGGCCCAACCTCCCCCCCGCCGCTCCCCAACCCCCGGGCCCAGAGTCGCTCCCCCCGCGGGTCCCCGGTACCTGCAGCTGCGGGCGGGGGGCGGCCGAATCCCGCCCAGGCCCCTCCGCGGCGCCCGCTTCTCCTCAGCCACTTCCTGCTTGGCCCGCGCCCCCCCCGCCCTCCGCCGCCGGCCGCTCGCCAGCCTCGCTCCCGCCCCTCGCCGCGGCACGCCATTGGCGGAACCGCCCGCCGCTCGCCGCAGCGCGCATCCCGATTGGCCGCCGCCGCTGTCGCTCCCCGGGGGGGGGGTCGCGGCTGCTCGCACTCGCCGTTGGCGGAGCGGGAGGCAACTCCGCGGCTGGAGCCCGCCCCCCGAGAGCCGCGCTCATTGGACAGCGAGACTGCCATTCAAAGAGTGATCCCCGCCCATCCCGCTTCCTATTGGTGGTTGGCGCTGCCTCGCCCACGTGACATCCTCGCCGCTCACTGGCTGGATTATTTGTCGATCAATACAGCCCACCCCCTCCGGCTTCTCATTGGCCAGCTGCGGCTGCGCTCCGAGCAGCTATTGGCCACAAGGAACGTCCACCAGGGTGTGTCCCAGCTGTTGCTTTCCTATTGGGCGACAAAGCTGCCGCTCGAGCGCAGGACCCGCCCACCGCCATCCCCATTGGCCAGAAGCACTCCCCGATGGCTCAATCTCCTCCTCCCATTTGCTGTCACTCGAGGTGCGAGGGCGGGGCAAAAGGCTCCGCCCCTTTGATGACGAGCTCCGCTACTCACGCACCCGCTCGCTTCCCCATTGGCTGACCCCACAAACCCACGCCCCCCTCGCTCTCCTCCCCACTTCATTGGCTCCCCGCCCCGCATACGCTCAGCGATTGGCTGCCTCTGCTGCCCATCAACCGCCAAGCCCCGCCCCTCTGGTGTCCTTGTAAACATCCCGCGGGAAGCGGCGCAGGGGGCGGGGCTTCCCTGGGCACGTGGTCGGGTCGCGCCCCCCCCCACCAAGGCCGGGACAGCACCGCCCATAGAAGCCTTTATTGCCCCTCGACAGCAGAGACCCCCCCCCGGCCGGGCACCCCCCGGGCCCTCACTTCTTCTCGTCCTCCTTCTTGTCCTTGCTCTCCTTGGAGGCCTGCGAGGCCAGCGAGCCCATGGCGTTGCGGATGGCCTCGTTGTTGGGGTCCACGCCCGGCAGGTTCTCCAGCACACTCTGCAGGAACTCGGGGTCCTGCATCACGTCGTAGTCATCCTCCTCCTGCGGGGACAGGGAGGAAGGATGGGCACAGGGCAGGGCCTCCTCCTCCTCCTCCCAGAGGGAGGGGGACAGGAATAGGATGGGATCCAGGGCCAGGAGTGAAGCGCACCTTAGCGGGTTCGGAGGTGTCCATGGCGGTGCTGCTGTCCACTTCTGCTGCCTCCGCCTGGGCAAACTCTGTCAGAGGAGAGGGACAGTGGAGGCAGAGTTCACACATCCACAGCCTGCCCACAGCGCAGGGGAGCGACCCTGGCACCCGTCCCCCAGCGGTCAGGGGGGGCAGGACCCTGCCCAGGTTTGGGGTCCCAGCATCACTTGAGGGCAGGTTGGGCGTAGGAGCCAGGGGCTCCGTTCCTGGAGGGACAGGACCTGCCCCTGGGTACTTCCTTTGGGAATGGGCTCCAGGCACTCACCTGCTCCCTGCAGAGACATCTGCATGGCGTAAGCAATCTGCTCCTCCTCCGTCATGCTGCTGAGGTCGGGCAGCCCGGCCCGGCCAAACTCCTGCTGAGTTATCGTCATCTTCAGCAAAGCATCGTCCGAATCTGCACAGCCAAAGCCCTGCTCAGGAAGCAGCAATGGGGCTGCCCCCCTGGGTCCAGCGCCCCACACAACCCCTGCTCCCACTCACACACGTGGCATCGCTGGGGAAGGGGACTGGAGCAGAGCCGCTGCCCACAGCATCCAGGATACCCAGGAAAGGAACGGGGCAGTTGGGAGCTCCAGCAGAGGTGGCTGCAGGTAAACTGCCTCCCTCTGAGGTGCCAGGGGCATAACCCAGCTCCTGCCTCACACCCCAGCAGCTCTGGGTGCTGCCAATCCACCCAGAAGGGCCCTGCCAGAGCTGCCAGCCTTCCTGCCACAGAAGCCATCCCCAGGGACACCCTGCCCAGCTCCTTACCATCCCCAGCAGTGGCTGCTATCCCAGCCTCAGCCGCAGAGGCAGCTGCAGCCCTCCTGGCCTCCTCCTCTTGCCGCTGCCTCTGCTCCTCCATGGACACACGCAGAGCCTGCAGAGACAGGGCCAGGCAATGAGCTGAGCCAGGCAGGGCAGGCTCAGCCCACAGCCGCCCTCCACCTCCCCATCGCTCACCAGCGCCAGCTCCGGGTCTGCACTGGGGTCCACCCCAAACTCGAAGTCACTGGCGCCCAGGCCCAGCATGGCACCGCCCTCCCCGGCCAGGATGGGGGAGCTGATGAGGGCATCAGCCAGGCTGGGCCCCGGTGGCACCGTCACCAGGTGGGAGCCGGTGCCATCCTTGCCGTTCAAGGTGTTGATGAAGGCGGTCAGCTTGTCTGTGTTGGCCTCCTAGGGGCAAAGAGGAGGGCTGGGGTTAGAGCTTTGCCTGGAGATGCCAATCTCCACTGGGGCAACTGCTGAGGAGATCGAGACTCAGAGAGCTCTTCATATCCCCCAGTGCCTGGATAAGGGCTCTGGGTTGGGAAGGATTCAAATCCCACCTTGATCCTATGCCAGAAACGTGGCACAAGTCTCACCTCTTCTCCAAAATTGATGATGTCCACGTTGACCTTCTCTTTCTTCAGACGCTTCGCCAGTTTCACCAGCTGCAGTGCAGTGAGAAGACACCACGGCATTAGCCTGGATTCTGGCTCCTAGGCACTGCCCTGGGCTCAGCAGGAGCTGTCATTTCTCTCCTGCTTAGGAGCTGGTGCAGTGCTGTGGTTTTCACTTTCAGCCTGGGAACGGTGCTGGTAACACCGATGGTTTCGTTGCTGCTCGGTAATGCTGACTCTGAGCAAGGACTCTGTGAGCCTCATGCTCTGCCAGGGAGCAGGGGAAGGCAAGAGGAAGCAGAGACAGGACACCTGACTCGAGGTCAAGCCGGAGGGATGGGGAGGAGAATGGAAAGCCTGTACCTCCCATGGGGTGAGATGAGAACAGTCCAGGAACTGAGGTACAACACAAACCACTGCTGCTGCCACCAGGAACTATAATGATAAGGGAAGAGACTACAACCGCTCACCACCCACCGACCGGTACCCAGCCTGACTCAGCAGTGATCTGACCCTTCTGGGTAGCTGCCCCCAGTTTCTATACTGGGCAGGACGTGCTGTGGTATGGAATACCTCTTTGGTCAGTTTGGGTCAGGTGTCCTGTCTCTGCTTCCTCCCAGCTTCCCCTCCTCCCTGGCAGAGCATGAGGCTCACAAAGTCCCTGTTGCTCAGTAGTGGTCACCCCGACCAACTCAAACCATCGGCGTTATCAGCGCTGCTCCCAGGCTGAAGGTCAGAACCACAGCACTGCTAAGGAGAAAAACGACTGCTCCTGCTGCACCCAGGACAGGCCCGTTGAGCTCATCACAAACCAGAGAGCAGCACTTGGAAATTCAGTCCTGAAGGCCCAAAGCTCCAAAGCAGCTTCCCAGTTTCAAGGCCTCCCAGCAGGAAAGCGTTTGAGGTATTTTATCTCTCCATGGGCACAGTGCCCAAGGCCCTGTGAGGCAGCAAGAGGGACCCGTTCCTGCCCAAGCCAGGAACTATCCCCATCAATGGGGACAGCAGGAGCCTGGGACGGGCAGCACCTCCTCCTGTTCCTGACCTGTTCTCTCCAAGAGACCCAGAACATCTGCATTAACTTCAGCTGAGTTAATTCAAATGCCAACCCAACAGCACCATCCCAAGGCTGAGGGCAACGTTTCTGCACAGGAACAAGGATTTCCTCCCCAGCTCCCCAGGCAAAAAGCCCAGAGTGCTTTATGCAACAGCCACAAGGCAGGAGGGGCAGGTCACTGTGCAAGCTCCCTCTGGGAGCTATGGATCTCTGTCCTTGGCTGGGCCTGACTGTGCCCAGGGATCCGGTCCTCCCTCTGCTCCGGGGTATAAAGCCTTACCCCCAGTACAGGGCAAGCAAATGTGTGGGTGCAGGCAGAGCACAGAGCACCCCCCCCACGCTCTCCTTTGCCCATTACTCACATCTTTCTCATTATCTTCCACAGGGCTCCCCACAAAGGCAATGATTCGCATCTTGTGGTTCTTGCCTTGGCGATGCTTCAAAGCCAGCTGCAAGACAGAAGCTCTGTTGTGCCTGAGGAGCGCCCTGCAGGCAGAGAGGTGACCAGCAGCCACCCTGCCCCTTGTCCCTCTGCGCAGGAAGGCTGCAGCCGAGTGCCAGGAGAGACTTCTCAGCAGCAAGTTCCCAAGTGCCACCAAGCAGCACGGCCCAAGGGGCTCCCTGCTCTGCAGTCAGGGCTCGGGTGGGAGCGGTTTGTTGGCAGAGCAAGAGAACAGGGTAAAGAGGTGGCCATGGCCTGGGGGCCGCTCTCATTGGGGTGGGAAGGGCTCTGCAGCTCAGCTGCATTTCTGGTTCTGCTCCAAAGCAGCCCAGGACCAGGCTATAAAACTTGTGAGCTTTTAGACTGGGTTTCCTCCAGGCTTCATCTGCAGGCAGGGAAAGGGAGGCACAAGGAAAGTGCCAGGAGCTCAGCAGAGCAGGGAGAGAACAAGATTCCTGCTGCTGAGCCACACATGGGACAGGGAACCCAAGAGACACAGTGAGGCAAAGCAATGACAGAGGAAGGAGCAGACTCGCCCCTGGGGAACCACTTACGTGAGCGACTCTGATCCCTGTGCAAAAGGTGATCTTCCCTTTGGGCTGCACCGTGTGTAGCTTTGAGAGGATCCGTCCCGTGTCCGGCGTGAGCGTGGTCAGCACCTCACAGTTACTGCAATGCAAACACAGCTCCTTGAGCCCCCTCTTTGGGAAACCTTCTATTTGCTATTGGGGGGAGAGCCCCCCCTGCACACCCCGGCCCCTGCCCCAGCCCATTTTAATGGACTCTGGCTACGAGGGAGCCCCGAGGCCCTGGAGTTCCACAGGAGAAAGGAGGAATCTCCCTCCTGGGGCCATGTGGGAGCTGCAGGGGCAGCTCAGCCCTTATTGAACCACCCTTAGGGCCACAAGGGAATGGGTCTGGCAGAGGGCTCCTGAGAGAGAAACCTCCATAGCACATCCCGGCATCGCAGGAGCGACACCAACAAGCACGAGGCCACTCAGGAACCAGCTTTTCTCCTCCCAGTCCTCCCAGGAGAACCGGTTTGGTTTCAGACCCTGCTGTTGCTGCCCGTGTCCCAGGCCCTGGCACGGGTGCGCTCCTCAGCGCCAGAGCACCGCGCCCCCCCCCGCAGCATACTTGGCTAGCGTGATGAGCCCCACGTTGTTCTCGGGGTTGCTGCGGGTCTTCGAGTGGCACACGATGTTGACAGCGTCCTGCTGCGCCTGCAGGCGGGTCGGGAGGAAGTCCCCGTTCCTCATGTACTCGCTGTTGTCAACACTGGAACACAGGGGGGGGGTTTGGGACCCACATTGGTGGACATGGACGTGTCCCAGGGCAGGATGAATCCTCTCTGCATCCCCAGGGCTCGGCCTCGCAGGGCAAACGCCAGCAGCTGGAAGCTCCCGTTCCTTGCTGAAGGCAGCCCCCACCTCCGAGCCCCGCTCCCCCAGCACCTCCCCTGCGCAGCACAAAGCTCCGTGCCCATGGCTCCCAAGGGGTCTCCATCGGGACAAACCGCAGCTTCCCCAAGGACCCCCTCCAAGGGCCACAGCCACAAGCACGGGTTTTACACCCCCCCAACAAGGAGACGGGGCCAGCACAACAACAGTGCCCCTCTGCGCCCATGGGCAGCGGCTGCAGCACGATCCCTCCCCATGGCTCCAGCAGACCCCAAACGCAGCCCTGGGCCGGCAGGAAGGAGCCTTCCTCCTATGGAGCCTTGGGGAAAGCGACCCGGGCAGGAGGTGCGGTTAAAGAAGGGTTTGGGAGCTCGTTTAAGGCCCAGGTGAAACCTCCCCGTGGAGCTCTCCCTGGGCTCCTCGGCTTTAACACCAAGGGAAAGGTTCCTCTCGCAGCCCCGACCCGGGACCGCTGCCCCCATGGAGTGAGGCGCAGGCAGCGGCCTGGGGCACACGGACCCGGCTGATGGAGGAAGCGCTCGGCAGGGGCAGCCCCATCTCCCCCACTGCGGACGGGCCGGGGCAGGCCCTGGGGCCGCAGCTCTTCCTCCGGGCTGGGAAATGCCCCCAGTTTGGAACCAGCAGCGCCCCCGAGCTCTCCCCACCGAGGGCCCCGCTTCCCTCCTCCACTGCCCCCATCCCTGCCCCTTCACCCCGCTCCTGCCTCCCCCAGCCCCGGCCCTGCATGACTCAGGGAAAGGCGCCGGGGCCCCGGGCCGGCCGCCGGGGCTCGGGGCGGGCGGTGGCGGGGCCCGGGGGCAGCCGGAGCCGGGGCAGGCCGGGGCCGGGGCCAGGCGCGCTCACCAGACCATGGTGCTCTCCAGAACCATCCTGCCGCCAGCTCCTCGGCACCGGCACGGAGCCGAACCAACAAGGCGCCCGCCGATTAGCTCCACGCTACTGGCCAATCCCCGCTTCCCGTCTTCGCGAGGTGAGTGGCGGAAGGAGGTGAGGAGCATGCTGGGAGTTGTAGTCCCGGAAAGGCCGTCACAGAGGAGCCTCCGCAGGGCCCGCCCTTTCCACCCCTCCCGTCCCGCAGACACCGAAACGGCTCCCCCGGCACCGCAACAGGGCCCCGCTCCCTCCTCCCGATACCGCAACGGGGCCCTGCTCCCTCCTCCCCATACCGCAACGGGGCCCCGCTCCAACCCCCCCCGGTACCGCACCGGGGCCCCGCTCCCCACAGAGCCCGCACCGGGGCCCGGTCCCCCCCATCCCGTCCCCCCGCACAGAGGCGCAGGACCAGCAGGGCAGCAGCACGGGTTTGTATTGCGCGGGTCGGGCGAGGCCACAAGCGCTACAGAGCCGAAAGGACAACACAGGCACGCACGGCGCGAGCTGCTCCCGGGGCCAGGCCGGGCCAGGCCCTGCTGCGGTCCCAGCGGTGATGAGGGACCGTGATCCATCCATGTCTGCATATGGTCCACCCACATCCATCCATGTCCATCCATGATCCATCCACATCCATGTCCAACCGTGATCCATCCACATCCACCCATGTCCATCCGTGTCTGACCATGATCCATCCACATCCATCCATGGTCCATTCATATCCATCCATGGTCCATTCACATCCATTCATATCTGACCATGATCCATCCACATCCATCCATGTCTGACCATGATCCATCCATGTCCATTCATGTCTGACCATGATCCATTCATGCTTCATCCATGTCCGACCATGATCCATCCATGTCCAACCATGATCCATCCATATCCATCCATGACTGACCATGATCCACCCATGTCCATCCCTGATCCATCACCTCGCGCTGATCCAGAGGCTCCAGCGGCCGCTGCTCCCCACTCCCACAGTGGTGGGGCTGGAGAAGCAAAGCCCCCTCCTTACACTGGGGATGGGATGGGGGTTAAAGAGCCACAACCCCCAAGCCCCAGCCCTTGGAAACACACACAAAGAAGAAAAAAGCAGTTCTGGAAACCCATTACAAAGCAGAGGTCAATATAGAAACACATCCCTCCCCCCCCCCCCCACTATAGGAATAACTATGCCCAGGGAAAGGAAAACAAACACTTAAATACAACTCCATAAATATTCCATCATGAAAAACAGATTTGGGGTTCTTCCTGCCTGGTTAAGAACAAACAGAAAGGGGTTAGGGGGGCAGATAAGAAACAAGTGTCTAATATAGACAGTTACCTGGGCTGGACCGGGGCACCGCAGCTCCCAGCCAGGGAGAGGGGAAGAGCCAAGCACAGGCAGCCCCGAGCTGAGCTTCCTCCCGCTCCCGGTGCCCGTCCTGACGTTCAATTGGCATCCAGAGGTTCAAGGAGCCCTTGAGGCCCGGTTTAGGGCCAGCGCCTGTCCTCAGCATCCCAGCACCCTGCGGATCCGGGCACCCAGGGGCAGGCAAGGGAAAGAGCAAAGAGTGAAAAGGCCTCCTGAAAACAACCCCAGCTTGTGTCCCATCCGCGCTGAGGGGCTCCGGTGGAAGGCAGGAAGAGACCTGGCTCCGGACCATCACCTCTGTACAGCACTACATTCCCTGGTTCCATAGCCATCGCTGGGGGTTCATAGAGAAACCCCTTGTGCTACCACAAGGGTAAGCTTGAAATGACTTCTTTAATGCACAGACCCCCACTATGGATTGTGAGCCATCAGGAACACAGGGAAGAGTCACCTCACCCCTCCTAAAGCAGCAGGCTGTGACACTAAAGCTCAGTCCTGCATCCGCTCCGTGATCCCTGAAGGCTGCAGCCACCGCGGGCCGGGCATCCCAGGACAATCCCCCCCCTTCTTCCAGCCTTTTACTGATGAAGAAACCAGACCCCGAATGCTCCACGCCTGTGGGGAAGCACGAGGCTGTGCCAATGGAGCGGGAATCTCTGCCCCAAGCTGCCGGTATCCACAGGGAGCCAAGGCATACGAACCAGGCTGGGATCCGCACGTGGGGCCGAGGGCAGGGAACAGAGCACGTTGGGTTTGGTCCCATTGCTTAAGAAACACCCCTATAAAAGTGCCCCTGGCAGAGCTCTCCCTTGGCTGCGGCTCCCCCCCTGCGGGCAGGGAAGGGCCAAAGGGGCCTCGTTTAAAAACCAGGGCACAAAGGAATCCAACCCCTCCCCGGGCTCCAAAAAAGCTTCGTACATTCAAAGGCCTCTGAGCAACGCGGCTGCAGAGGAGGGGACAGCAGCCGGGAGAGAGGAGCTCGTCCACAGGCAGTGAAGCGGCTGCTGCCCCCTTCTGCCTCAATGACACCGGGAGCTTTCTGGTGGAGCACTGAAAAAGCCCCTGTTTAGTAAAAAAAACCCCAATAAAAATAGCAAGACCACGCTGCGGGAGCAGGAAGGAGGGCAGTGACCGAATACAGAGAAACATTTAAATTAAAAACGTCGTCTAAAGTACAAAATCCAACCGTGCTGCTCCAGGGCAAAGGGCCCCAAGGAGGCTCCAGTGCCCGCTTCCCACCCCAGGCACTGCAGAGTCTCCTGTCCTCGCTGCCTCTGTGGGGTCGCATGGGAAGCAGCCACCTCCTGCAGGTCAGGTCCCTCCTGCAGAGCTTCAGCCCCCGCTGAGTGCTTCCTCCTCTTCCTCCTCCTCCTCCTCCTGGCTCTCCCCAGGCTCCAAGGACAGGAGGACAGCAGGGCCGCAGCGCTGGGCTCTGCTCTAAGGAGACCTTGGGGTGTCCGAGGCGCAGGGGCGCTGGCTCGGTTCTGGGTTAATGCTACCCCCTAAGTGTGGCCCAACCTTCAGCCTTTGGGTTTCTGTCCAGGTAAGATTACTTAGGAAATACAAAGGAAAACATAAATCAGCAACAGGGGCTGAATTCTGTGTCGGGCTCCACGGCCCACGCAGAGAACAGAACCGTCTGCTTCCATCGCAGCAATCCCACGTTGCTTCACTGTGAAGAGAAAAGAGGGGGAGATGCCAGGGAGGGCTCAAGCCTTCCTCTGAGCCTCCTGCTTCGTCTTCCCCTCAACCTTCTCCACCCCAGGAGAGGCAGAGGGGAAGGGGGTGTTGAGTTCAGGTTTAACCCAGCCCATTGCAACAGGAGGGTCTGTGCTGCAGGGACAGCAAGATGAGCAGCTTCACCCCTTTTATCTGTCATCAGACCCACTTTGAGCCCTCAGGAAAGAGCAGTGTCTCTTGCCTACCTAAGGCAGTTGGGGCAGCAGATTAACACCAACTTGTGCCTGGCACTGCTCACAATCCAGAGGGATGAAGAGCTCCCGCTCTGGTCAAGTGGCACATCCCACTCTGTGCCCATCTTCCCAGCAGAGCCAGGGCCCATGGAACCTCCCCAGTTCTCCATCCACCTCCCAGGCTGCTTCTTTCCTCCTCAACAGGGAAGTACTCACAAAGCTTATCTCAGTCTCCTGCAGGTCTTCGAGCTGCTCCCTCAGCTCTGCAGAGTGCTCGGGTATGGAAGGCCCTGGGGAGCCACTGGGGGGGAACAGAAGGGAGAGACCTGTAAAGCACTTGTTCAAGGTGAGCTCTCAAGCACTGGTGTTCCCCGGCCTGCTCTCCTGTACCCAGCCAAGGAGATGGCCCAGCACAGCACAAAGGCGCTTGTAAGGCAGGTTTAACACAAGGCAACACGATCCCTGCTAGGGCAGGCACCCAAACCCCCACGCAGATCAGCCCCCCAGGCCTGACGTGACTTCAGCTGTTGGGAACAAGGATCTTTTGTCCAGCAAAGCACCAGCACCTCTTTACAGGAGTCTCTGAGCACCTCATCAACACAGGAACGGTCCTGGGTGGAAACAGGCCAGGGACAAAGGGAGGACAAAGCCCGGAGCTCAGCAAGTCTCAGCCTTTCCAGACAGAGGAACCTGTGTTTGAAAGTCCCCTGGCAAAGCTCTTATGTCTGAATTCAAGCTGCAGCCTGACAAAGGATATGCAACACGGGTACACTGAGCACTGATGCGCTGGAGCGAGCCTCATCCTGCCTGCCCCCTGTGTGCACCCTCAGAAGGGCAGAAGCTGGAGATTCTGGGGAGATCCCTCCCCTTTGTACAGGGCTACAGAGATTTAAGGGTGGTGAAGACCCCACCAGAGCAGCCAGTTCTGGGGAGAGAAAAAAGCCAAGCACAGAACCCAGGACCAACCTGTGGCATCCCAGTGCAGGCACGCTGCTGTGCATCACCCCACAGGCTGCTTTCACCCCTCCTCAGGGCTGGCGGAGCTTTAGGGACCAACCAAGGTTACAAAGTGCAGCGGGGTTGATCTCACCCACCAGAAGCTGGGCTTTGCCCAAGCAGGGTGCTCAGCACCGGGCAGGGTGGGGAGGGCACCATCCTGAGAGGGTTCACACACAGAGATGCACTAAGGAGGGCTGAGCCCTGGCGCAGGGACACGCTGTGTTACAGCACCCACTGCACAGAGCTGCTGGAAGCACTGGCCAGCAGCAAGCACGAGGCCAAAGCCCCTCACTGAGGACAGCCTCTGGACAGGAGAAGGTTGCAGGCAAAGTCTGGGTCCTCCCCTCACCTAGACAGGAAGATGCCAGGAGCTGTCCTAGTCAAATCCTTTGCTGAGCACTCAGCTTTATGCACTTGCACGCCCACTGACCTACGCAGGGATTGAAGGAGAGAGACCCGCAGTTAAGTTCCAAGGAGCACCTCAGGCATGCTGACCTGCTGGAAAGGAGCAGCTCTGGTTTCGGATCCCTACCAAGAAGCTTCCATGTTTTACAGAGGGGGTAAGAGCCCTTGATTACAATTGAATCTGATTCTCCTGCAGCTCAGGGGGGAGCAGGCACTGCCAGCTGTGCCATGGGGCAGGCACTTCTAGCTGTGCCATGGGGCAGGCACTTCCAGCACGGTGCAGGCACTTCCAGCACGGTGCAGGCACTTCCAGCACGGTGCAGGCACTTCCAGCACGGTGCAGGCACTTCCAGCACGGTGCAGGCACTTCCAGCACGGTGCAGGCACTTCCAGCACGGTGCAGGCACTTCCAGCACGGTGCAGGCACTAGCTCAGGACTGGGCAAGACTCTTTGTGATTGCTTCCAGGCAGAGAAGTTAACTTGTATGAAAGGGATCATCCTCTGACCACAGCTCCTCCTCATCCTTACCACTCCAGCAAGAGACCAAACATTCAACAACAGCCCCCAGTGCCCTCAGGGCTCTCCATGCATTTCAGCTGCTGAGACCCATTGAACCACGCTGCACACATCCTGCAGCCTCCTTTCCCGAGGGGCTGTAGGAGCTCAATGCCAACAATAAGCTGCAGAGAGCAGCAGGAAGGTCAACTTCAGCATCACCCAGCACCACGTCAAGGCTCTTCACGTACACTTTAGCAGGGCCACTTTCACCAACTCATTGAATTAGCACAATCAGCTCGACTCCAGAACAAAGCCATTAAATACAGAACACACAAGGAGCTAAGAGCCACTGGGACCCTCACACAGCTCAAGCAGTGCAAGATCACGTCACCTGGAACAGACACACGATGCTTCCCCCTTGCACGTGCTTGAACCGACAGCACTGACCTTGCTCCACAACACACAGAGCTCTCCAACGGGTATTTCTGTGAGCATGCCAGGCCCCAGAGCATCCACAGAGCAGCACAAAGCCCTCCCATGGCTTGGATCTGCCCTGCAGGAGCCATCAGCCTGCATGGGCCCGAGCCACCAGAGCCTCACCTGTTTGCGGGCGAGTTGAGGCCTCCGCTGCCCAAGGAGGATGTGGACAGGGTCGTTGCGATGGAATCGCTGTTGGCTTCATCCACTGGCAGGGTCCTGGGCAGGAGATCTGGGCGCCCAAGGTGGGAACCTGAGTTGAAGACAGACTGCTCCATCACCAGCGCAAGCAGGATCGTGTGGCACCAGCCCCCACAGTACCCAGGGCCTGGGGTATGCGTGGTGCTGCATCCCACCCGGTACATCCGAGGCACCCAGGCACTGCAGAACCAGCCCTGCAGGCAGTTCTCTGCTCCAAGCCTCCACACAAGTGCTTAACCCTGCTTCTCCCCCAGCACAAAGCCCATGTTGGGAAGGGACGAGGCACACAGTACTGCCACACCACCTCAGCCCCTTCCCCAGTGGGAGCAAGGGCCGAGCTGATGCTTGGATGAGGCTGAAAGATTCCATGAGGCCACATGAGCTAACAACCCCCCTCCACAATCTGCTCTCCTCCTGGTAAGGTTTCTCATCCTGCCCTGTGTTTGCTGCAACAGAACACCTGTAGACAGCAGAGCCTTTCCAGGGCTCACTGCTCCTCCGGGGCCTTTCTTATGGTGCCAGACTGCCTAAGGCCATCTGGTTTCCTGCACCCACAATCCCCCCATAGCGAGAGCACAACCAACATGGAGCTGTCTCACACAGCTGAGCAAGAGCTCCCCAGGTTTCTGACCCAGGCACCAACCTTGCTCCACCTCCGCCTCTGTCGTCACTTGTGCTTTAGTCTCGCAGGCCACGTGGGACAGGAAAGGCACTGCTCCTTGACAGCTCCGCCGCGGAACGGCCGCGCCAGACCGGCTCTTCTTAGACGGGGACGGCTTTACTTAAAGACAGAAGCCAAGAGAGCCCTTTTCAAACAGCTCCAGGAAGGAGGAGGAGGCTTCCCAGTGAGAGCCTGGCCCCAGAGCTCTGCCCCAAAGGAACAAGCTGGGCCATGACACAGCTCCTGTAAGGTCACATCTCCGAGGCAAGAACAGTCCGGGAGGCAGGAAGGTGGGACACAGCACAACAGAATTCCTAAAGCTGCCATCCACCTTCCCAAACTACAGCTGCAGAGCAGGGAGAAGCCAGAAACCATGGCCAAGAGTTCAGCTGTGCCCCGGTACTTACAGGGTATCTTCTTGAACGCTGTGTTGCACATGAACCGCTGGAACCTCTCGGCGTAGAAGCTGGGTCTGTGCACGGATACGGTGTCCTGCCAGTCCAAGAGACAAAGAACCTGATTCAATGGGTGGCCAAGGTGAACATGAGCACCTCGGGCTGGCAGCCTTGAACCACACCGCTGGGATGGACTGGGACCAGTCAGGGGCTCCCAGTCGCTCTCACCAGCAGCTGTGAGAAGCGCAGTGGCTACAAGCAGTGGGTATTGAATCCAAAGCAACTAATACTTATTAATAAGTAGATGACCAGCATCAACAAAAGCAACGCTGTGCCAGTACCTTGGACATAACCTTACACAGAAAGGGGACAAACACTCCCACCCCTTGGGAACCCAGGATCTTAGGAGCAAGGACAGCAGGCGCAGTTTAACAAAGCCACTGGTGTGACTGCTAAGCCAGTTCAGAGGGCTGGTTTATCCACTCACCCCATCGTGCACGAGGGCCTTCCAGGAGTGCTCCAGCTTCTTGACAAGTCTGACAAAGGAAAGGGGTTTTGCACTAAGTCCCCATTCTCGGTGTCGTTTTGTGCTCGCTCAGTACTGACCCTGCCTCCTGACCACACTGCAAACCCTGACTGCTCCAGCTTGGGATCCTCTTCATTGCCCCATGTTTCCAAGTGTTCCACACACACCAGGGCTGAGTGCACACTTCAGTCACCCAGAGGGACACCTTCACAGGCATCTTTATCAAGGACAGTTAACTTGCAGTGACATTTAGCAGAGGCTGTCTACATGTAATCCCTGCACACTGCATTTTGATATGAACAGAGGAACAGGTAAACCTTACAGCTAGCTTCCATTTTATAGGGAGAAGTGGTTATGGCCATTGTAAGCCACCACTTGTTTTGTAACTTGCTGCTTCCTGCACAGCACCTGTGTCCAAGCAGCAAGCACACAAAACCAACTTCCCAAGAGCAAATCTATGCCAGGAACTTGAAGCAAATCCCGTAAACGAGGCCCAGAAACTGATCCCCAAATGCCCAAGGTCAGGAAAATGGAAAGTAGCAAAAAACTTTGTGTCTTAAGCACTTCTTGGAAGCCAACGGTGACAACCAAGCAGGGGCAACCCGTGCTGTGGAGTGGTGTTCACCTGGTGACACAGCTGCTCTTAAGGCTTCTCACCTGTAGGACTGCAACACATCGATGATGCCGATGTACAGGAGGAGCCTCTCCCCCTTGGCGTTGCGGGCTGGAATTCCTCCCATCCTAGAAGAGGACAGGGCACACACACGTCAAGTTTTCACCCCCCCAACTGCCTCTCTCATGCACCCTAGCAGGGGCTGAACACCGTGTGAGCTACTTAACAAGTGCCAGCATGCAGGAGGCACCTCCAGTGCAGCTAATGGGTTGGGGAAGCAAAATGCTTCCCTAGTTAAGCTGCTGAATCTCCTGAGAACTGCCCCCCTTTTCCCTCTATGCCAATTGGTAGTGAAGATTAACCCCAACTCTCTAATACAACCTGGAAGGCACAAACAGAACCTTTTCTACATTAAGGAAGGGAAACCAAAGACAAATCCGCTACCAAGACCTCTCTGCCCAGCGCGACAGCAACCCCATACAGCCCAGTCTGCACCTAAGTTACATCTCCATTAGCCAAGCTTGGGTTTCACTGGGAAGAGCAATCCCAACACAGACTTACTGGTCATCTGTTTCTATGGTGCCGCCTCGCCGGGCCTCTCCCTGGATGGATTCCATGGCTGTGGAGTAAAGGGCCTTCTGGGCAGCGGGCCGCCGCATGTCAGCCTGCAGCGTCCCATCCGCCATGGCGTGCTCCCTCTGTGCCAGGTCCATGTTATGGATTGCAACGAGCAAACTGTAATCCATGATTTTAAAGCTCTGCAGGACCTGGGCAGGAAGGCAGCACAGGCTCAGCCAGCAGCACAGCAGTGACACTGGCAGAGCAGTTTCAGAAGCACAGACAGCAGTTGTGTTTAGAGCCCTGAGGTGATGCCTTTTAATCCAGTCCATCTCCAGTCTAATCCATCTCCATCTAATCCATCTATTTTAACGCATGCAGTCACCAAAGGGTGTTAGGGGAAAGCCATGGGTCGTGCTCCTGTGCAGACAGGGACTCAAACCAGAGAACAGCAGGTTCTCCACAGCTGCCCAACTTGGGACCAGGCTCTGCCAAGCATCCTGAGCCTGCCCAGAGCCTGCCCTGCTGCAGAGCTCAACCTCAGCAGAGGATGCTTCCTCCACCTCTAGAGCCAGCGCTAGGTTTAATTCAGGTTGGAAGCACTGAACAAAACCAGAGCCAAGGTTCTGCTTGTCCACACCATGACACGGGTTCTCCAAGTGAACAGGCAGAGGCTCCACAGGTGGAGCTGCCACCTCCTTTCATGGGCAAGAACAGCACAGCACCCCTCACTTACCAAACAGTCTCTCTGCAACGTTTTGCACAGGGCATTGTACATGTCAGAGTCTAAGAAGAGGCCGTCGGGGATGTCCTGCATAAAATCCAAGTCCTTGTATGTGGGGAACACTTTCTCCCTCTCCTTCTGGGACGCTCGGCGCTTGTAGGTGGAGCCCTTGAGGTCGTACTTGAGGTGCATTTTGACAGAGCGTGGCAGCAGGTTGTTCATCACAACGATGCGAATGTTCTTGCCCCCGGCCTGGACACAGTAGAGGCCGTAAAACTTTGGCAGCAGCGTCCTTGGGTTCTGGTTCAAATTCTGAAAGGCCCAAGACAGAAACACCTTCAAAGCCAGCCTGGTTACTGAGAACTCCCCTGCTTCTGGATGGAAACGGAGCTGGCAGTGATGGCGTTTGACACAGCCTCCCACAGCATCCTCGCAGCTACATTGAGGAAGTGTGGTCTGGATGAGCGGGTAGTGAGGTGGACTGTGAACTGGCTGAAGGAGAGAAGGCAGAGAGTTGGAGTCTATGGGGCAGAGTCTAGTTGGAGGCCTGTATCTAGTGGAGTGCCTCAAGGGTCGGTACTGGGACCAGTATTATTGAATATATTCATCAATGATTTAGATGAGGGAATTGAGTGTACTATCAGCAAGTTTGCTGATGACACTAAGCTGGGAGGGGTGGCCGACACGCCAGAAGGCTGTGCTGCCATCCAGAGAGACCTGGACAGGCTGGAGAGCTGGGCAGGGAATAACTTGATGAAATATAACAAGGGAAAGTGTAGAGTCCTGCATCTGGGCAGGAACAACCCCAGGTTCCAGTATAGGCTGGGGAACGACCTGTTAGAGAGCAGTGTAGGGGAGAGGGACCTGGGGGTCCTGGTGGACGACAGGGTGACCATGAGCCGACACTGTGCCCTTGTGGCCAAGAAGGCCAATGGCATCCTGGGGTGTATTAGAAGGGGGGTGGTTAGTAGGTCGAGAGAGGTCCTCCTTCCCCTCTACTCTGCCCTGGTGAGACCGCATCTGGAATACTGGGTCCAGTTCTGGGCCCCTCAGTTCAAGGACAGGGACCTGCTGGAGAGAGTCCAGCGCAGGGCAACTGAGATGATGAAGGGAGTGGAGCATCTCCCTTATGAGGAGAGACTGAGGGAGCTGGGTCTCTATAGTTTGGAGAAGAGGAGACTGAGGGGTGACCTTATTAGTGTATATAAATATATAAAGGGGGAGTGTCCCGAGGATGGAGCCAGGCTCTTCTCAGTGGCAAACAATGATAGGACAAGGGGCAATGGGTACAAACTGGAACACAAGAGGTTCCACTTCAAACTTCTTCTCAGTGAGGTGCCAGAACACTGGACCAGGCTGCCCAGGGAGGTTGTGGAGTCTCCTTCTCTGGAGACATTCAAAACCCACCTGGACACATTCCTGTGTAACCTTATCTGGGTGTTCCTGCTCTGCAGGGGGATTGGACTGGATGAGGTCCCTTCCAATCTCTAACATACTGTGATACTGTGTGATTCAAAGCCACTGCCACCAAGGGCAGGTGAACACAGGGCACGGATGGGTGATGCCTCCTCTTGTTAACAACCTCTCTGCAAAGCTGAATGGGTCACAGACAAACTGCAGGAAGGAGTTTGCTGCTTACTCACACAGAAGCTAAGCTGGGGAGGCTTGAGCAAAGGGAGATATTGTGCTTAGCCTCAGCCAGCTGAGAGAGAAGCTGCCACTCAGCTGGGGCACACATAAAGCATCCAGCAGGCAGGTGGAGGTGTCGCACTGGATGTGTTGCACTGGATGGGTCGCACTGGATGGGTCGCACTGGATGGGTCGCCCTGGATGGGTCGCCCTGGATGGGTCGCCCTGGATGGGTCACCCTGGATGGGTCGCCCTGCATGGGTCCCACTGGATGGGTCGCCCTGCATGGGTCCCACTGGATGGGTCGCCCTGCATGGGTCCCACTGGATGGGTCCCACTGGATGGGTCCCACTGGATGGGTCGCCCTGGATGGGTCGCCCTGGATGGGTCGCCCTGGATGGGTCCCACTGGATGGGTCCCACTGGATGGGTCCCACTGGATGGGTCCCACTGGATGGGTCGCACTGGATGGGTCACCCTGGATGGGTCGCACTGGTGCACCATAGGGACCCTTCCCTGGCCTGCAGGGAGAGCCTCACCCGAGGGACTCACCATGTAGTAGCCAGGCAGCAGCTTCTGCAAGAACTCGGCCTCTTTGTGCTGCACTGTTTTGATGATGAACTCATCGTCGCTGGACACGTAGAAGAGGGATCCGCTGGCCCCCGAGTTTGACAGCTCAATGAGGGGCTCACTGCAGAGCGAGTACTGAGGGGGACAAGGGGAGAGACACCCAGGAAACACGAGCGTGAAGGCTCTTCCTTACAAACACCCCCAGGGCAAACCCCAGGGTCACAGAGAGCATCCAGTGCTGTGCTCCAGAGCCTGCCACAGGCCTCAGCACCTCCCAGCTCAGGCAGGGGGAGAGGACACCCATCCCACAGGGCACGGCACAGGCAGGAGCCTGCCCCCCGCACCAGCTCACCAGGTAGTCGTCCGGTCGGATCCCAAAGAGCTCCCGGAAATAGCGGAAGGCCACTGGAGCGTAGGTTTTGAATCGGAAGTCGTTGTAATGGTGAGCTGGGGTCAGGTTGCTCCCTTCACTGGGCAGGGGGAAGCACACACAGGTATCACCATGAGGGACACTGCTTAAGGAAGTGCTCCCGATGCAAACACCTCTGGAGGAGCTGCCTCTGACACACTCAAGGGCTGGAAAGCACCCACAAGAACAGCACACACATAGGCAAACGCAGGCCTCGGTTCACAGCACCAGTGATGGGCACATAGAGGGAAGAACCAGGGCTCTGCAGACAGACCCAGCCTTGGTCTGTCAACAGGAGTCCTGTGCTCACTCCTGCACTCAACCGTTCTGGTTCAGTGGGGCTTCCTCGTGGGCAAGCAGGGTTAGGAACTAACAGTGCTATTCACTCCCAGCACTGCAGAGAGAAGCAAGCAAGCACCAACCTGGGGAAGAAAATACTTTCTACTACGTAGAAATCTTGCATGAGAACATCTCTTTCGGGTTTGGTGCTCAAGCTTCCGACTGTGTGGGTAATGCCCAGCTGAATGGCACCCTTCAAGGCAGATGATGTTGTCTGGAGGGGCAGAGAAAAGGAGTTAGACAACATGGAGCAGCAGACTGGGAATGGGAAGGAAAGCAGTTGAAAGAGAGCCCCCATTCTAAACCAGTGCTATAGCTGGGGTATTTTACACCCACTGCTTCCAGCTTCTGTCATCCCTCTCTCATTGACTAACATCACTTCGGCATCACACCCCTCCATCCCTGACAGCACCCTGCTTGATCCCTGTGCTCTGGGTGACTGAGCCATAAAGGACTTGAACTGAAACCTCAACACCCTAAAAAGGACTGAATTTCACAGCCCCCACCTACGTGTCCTGCAGGCGGAGGGGGCAGATCTCCAGGCACAGATTACCTTCTGCCCCTATGAATAAGCACACTTCTTGCCACCTTGATCTTGGAACCATACACTTGGATGCTTGTTCTTCCCCAGCTTGGGCACAGCCTCAGGTCTCTCCAGGACAGGGCAGGCCCTGGCAGCACACAATGCAGGCCTCTGTTTGGTGCTGCCACATCCTTGCCTCTGCCTCCCTCGCTGGGTCGTGGCTCTTTAACCCTGAGGAGTTCATTGTCATTCTTCAATATGGAGCAAAGCCATGAACCCCAAGTGCCCGAGAACAAAGCAGGGCTGTGCTCCTGCAACAGCTACTCCCATGGAGCCCCCTTCACCTGCACAGCACATGATCTCATCTCAGAGCACCGAGTCAGGCTCTGACCAGCAGCACAGCAGCCCGGAGGTGCGCTCAGCACCCTGCTGTTAGGGGGCCTGCCAGGTCCTGAAGCACGGAGGGGCGAGCTCTGCAGAGCAGGCGCAGCCTGGAGCTGTGCACTGCACCCCAGGGACCTTCCACTTGGCTTGTTCATAAAGCAACGAGACCCAGCAGGAGATCCAGGCCTCAGGAAACCCTCATTAGGGTTTGCTTCCTTAAGCTAAACAAAGGCAGATGCGAGGCATCACTGTAGGTCAAAGCATCTGGCAGCACTGGGGAACAAACATCCCAAGGGTTTTCCCCAGACACATCCTCCATGAAACCCTGTAAAACAGATGGGAACATCTGTCCTGCTTCACTGCCTTTGGTATCACAGCAGCAAGAGTCCTGCTCCCAGCTCCCTGCAGAGAGAGCAACAAGGGGCAGTAACTCCACCTTGGTTCCTGTTCTGCTTCAGCTGTACCCTCTATTTACTTCAGTATTGGATGGGGCAGGAGGAAGAGCCTGATTCTGCTTTCATTCCCTACCCTCTAAAGGCTCAAGCTGCTTGAAAACAGGTCTCAGCTCACCTTGCCCTGCTTAAAACTCCCCTGACAGCCTCATTGTTGAGACAGACACGGCACAGCAATGCTGCTTGCTTGGGAACACAGAGCCACAGGGTCAGGTTGCCAAGGAACAAGCGTTCTCCTCTCCCTTTTCTATCAGGCACACAATAGCGTGCTCACCATCACCTTCACAGGGCAAAGTACTCTAACAAACAACTCACCAGCCCTGGAAGAGGCAGGATAACAAACACTGTTCCAGTGCCTTCCACTCTGACCCCCAGTGGACACATCTGGATTTGAGGTTTCGGACCAGAAGCTTTGCTTCCACAATGCCCTGAGATGCCCCTCTTGAGCCATTTCCCATTTCACCTACACCCCGAAGCCAGCCTCCAGAGAGGAAGCAGCATCCCCAATCCATACACCTTAAGAGGCTCTTTAGAAACACTCAATCTCCCCTTTGTAAAGCAAATTCCAGCCACACAACAAGACCTATAGAAACCCTGAGCACAGAAAGCACCCAAAAGCCAGAAGAGGCCTCAGAGGTGCTGCTGATGGGTAAAGTTTAAAAGCAATCCCCTCTTTAGAGGCTGCAGAAGGGGAGCTGAGCAGCCCAGCTCCACTCTTGTGGCTGCTTTCCTCTGGGATTGCCTTCAGTGCCTGTCCCAGGCCTCAGCCCCATCCAACAGGAACCTCATGGGAGAACAGCAAGAGGTAACTCACCTTCTTATAGGTAGTCTCGCCCGTGGAGTCCACTCCTCTGTGCCCTTTCTTTATGGTCTGTGAGCCTGGCTGCCCAGAAGCTCCTGGCATCTAGGAATGGGGGACGAGGTAAGCACCAAGGATGTAAAACCCAGATGGAGCCTGTGAAGTGCCCCTGCTCAAGCCCAAGGACATGGGGGAAGCTGGCCTCCAGACCACAACAGCACTGAGCTGCCTTCAAAGGGAGTGAATGCGATGTGCTTGAGGCTGGCCATCCCATCAGACACAAACACCTCCATGCATGACCATGGATGGGTCTGTTCCTCAGTCAGAACCTCCTGCTCACAGGAGATGCCCGCGGTGTTTTGGGGGCACAAGAAGTGCTCGGTCCCAGCAGAAGCTGGGGTTTTAAGCAGATTCCCTTGGGAAGGGGCAATGCTCTCAATGCTCTCCCAGTGAGCACCTGCAGCACTCAGCTCAGAGCCTGACTCCAATGGGGTTGGGAAAGCAGCAGGCAGGTCCCGAATTACACATTCCATCAGGTAGGGAACAAAGGGCCTTGGTCAGAGCCTTACCTCAGGGGTGAGGGACTTCTTGAAAGTAGCTGATCCTGCGGGAAGAAGAAAGGCACAGTGAGGAGGGGTGCATCATGACTATGCAGCACAAAAAGGCCTCTCACAAGCCTGCTTTGCATCCAGAAAGCTCTGACTCACAAACCAGCACTGAATCACGGCTGATTTCCTCCCAGCTTCTCCTCTTACAGCAGAGCCCCAAGGAAACGCTGCTCTGCTGCCGGCCTGCAGCCAAACTCACCCAGAGTCATAGAACCATGCAATGGGGTGGGGTGGTAAGGACCTTGAGATCATCCAGTTACAACCCCTGCCATGGGCAGGGACACCTCACACTGAACCAGGGCACCCAAGGCTCTGTCCAACCTGGCCTTGAACACTGCCAGGGATGGAGCATTCACAACCTCCCTGGGCACCCATTCCAGTGCCTCAGCACCCTCACAGTGAGGAACTTCCCCCTTAGATCCAATCTAAACTTCCCCTGTTTCAGTTTGAACCCATTACCCCTTGTTCTGTCACTACAGTCCCTAATGAAGAGTCCCTCCCCAGCATCCCTATAGGCCCCCTTCAGACACTGGAAGCTGCTCTGAGGTCTCCACGCAGCTTCTCTTCTCCAGGCTGAACAGCCCCAACTTTCTCAGCCTGGCTCCATACAGGAGCTGCTCCAGCCCCTGAGCATCCTCGTGGCCTCCTGCTTCCCCCCGCATCCATCGGTTGTTTCCCCACATTGAGCACTGCACCACAGCATCCTGGCGCGGTTCTGGGCCCACCCAGTGCTTCCTCATGGCTGCCTGGCAATGGAGGCCTCAGGCTGTGATGTCCTCAACAATCACCGCGTTTCAGCCATCAAAGCTCTCATCTCAATGCACACCACAGGAGCCAAGCACAAGGAAACCTGTGGCAAACACCTTGTGCTCAACAGAGCCTGCCCAGAGCGGCTGCTCCGGGCCCCTTCCACCCCCGGCTCCCTTTGGAGCCAGCCGAGTTCATCCTCACAAACTGCTCCCCTCTTCCTCAGCACGCTCAGGGCTGCCCCCTTCACCCCTCACAGCCCGGGTCTGGGAGCATCTCCAGCTGAAAGGAGGCTGCTGTGGCTTTAATGTGTCTAAAACCTGAGTCCATCACCGTGACCCAAGGCTGCTGATCCATCGGGGATGGAGGAAGCATCTCCAGCCTCACAGCAGAGGTGTTCAACAGCGATTATGCCTTTGTTTGAAGCAGTTCTGTGTCATTATGAGAACAGAAACCTCTATGAAGCCCTGTGACTTCAGCAGTCCTGAAGCAGCACCACCAGCCCTGTAGCAGCACCACCAGCCCTGCAGCCTTGGGGATTTACTAGGCTGGTGTTTAATCACCCGTGCACAAACCCATCCCAGCAGGATTCAACCAAAGCTGCTCCGTGCCACGTGCACCAGAAGCGGGACCATCCCAGCAGCTTGGTGGGAAGAGCATCCCAAAGCAGGGCCTGAGGAAGATGCAGGTACCCCAGCAGAGAGCAGAGCATCAGCTTCCCCTTCCCCTCCCGTGGCGCCCTGCTCCATGCCTGCACGCGGGGCTGTGGGCAGGGACAAGGAGCACCCCCGGGTGAGGCAAGGAGGGGAGGCGCAGCCTGCGCCCAAAGCACCGCTGCGGTCCCAGTGCTCCCAGTTTCCGCAGCAGGAAGCTCCCCTCCCTCCAACGCTGCTCACTGGGAAATGGGCAATTCCTGTTTGACCATGCTGCAATCGCTTCTGCATCCCCCATGCATGGGGTGGGGGGGGCACATGGATGATGGGGTCTGCTCAGCTCCCACTGCAGGGCTCCGCAGAGCATCCTCCTGCCCTGCAGATCCGAGTCCTCCCCATCACCAACAGCTGAGGGCAGAGAGAGCAAACCTGAGCTTTCCCTATGGAATCATCTCCATCACCTCCACCTCTTGTGCCTGCTCTGGAAGGGCAGCGTTGTGCGGTGCCTGGAGAAGGGAAGGTGCTAAAAGCAATGGTGCACACGTGAGATCATTTCAAAGCTATGTGGGGATCCATTTAAATGCCTCTTCCCGATGGAAGAATGCATTGGCCACAATTCCCATCCTGACTGACAACCGACAGAACAGCCCCACACCCCTAAACAGCCCATTGTGGCCAATGGGAACCCATCAGCCCTGTCCAACACTGAACTCATGCCATCCCAGAAGCCTGCTGCCTTGTCTCCTGACTCTGGGAGCAATCCCTATGGGCCCTTTCGGGGCATTGCTCGGAGCTGTTTACTGGAAGCTGAATCAACCTGAATAAATAGCTCCTGCTCGCTGCTGCCCTTGACTCTCGGGATTATTTTCAGCCAGCAGCAGACAGTATAGGCTTACCAAGCATGACGTGAGAGCTTGGAAAACAAGCTAAGGACTCGTGGCAATGGCACCTGGTCAGAGGGCTTGGACAAGGAGCGTGTAGCAAGGCATTCGGGTGAGCTCCTCGCTCATCCCATAGCAAAGGAGGATGCTGATGCGGCACAGGCAGCACTATGCCCACTTAGCTCTGGCTCTAAGCAGAGGTGCTCCTCATGCCTTGGACCGCAGTGAAACCGTTCACAGCCCCAAACACACCGTGAAGCTGAGCGGTGCAGGCGGAGCGGGGCAAGCCGAGCCCCAGGACACATCACAACAGCTCACCCCTGCCTCCCATTGCCCATCCCAGGGATGCAGGCGGCCAGAGCCAGGTCCCCTCCATGCTCAGAGGCAGGAACACTGCTTCCTCCCCTGGACTCTGCCTGCAGGGGTGGCCCCGTTGGGGAGAGCACTCCCATGCACACAGGAGGCAGCGCGAGCCCATGCCTGAGACCCACCAGCCTCTACCTGCTTGCATCCTCCATGGATGCAGGTGGCAGCTGGGGTCTGCTGCCTCCCCTACGCCAAGGCCATGGCTCCAAACGGGAACAGCAGCGAGAGTTCCTCCCTTCAAAGTGCAGAGAAGGCAGAAAGCAAAGCAGAAAAGCCCTGCTGGAACAATCCTGCTGGGGCTGCACAGAGCTGTTGAGAGGTCAGGAGAGCGCTTACACAACACACGGCAATGGAACAGCAGCTTCTGTTGAGCAGGGCAGCAGCTCGTTTAGTGGGAAACAACCCCAACACACACCACACCACTTGTCAGTCCTCCAGAGCTAAGGCAGTAAAACTGGCGAGGAGGAAGGCATGCTTTCCTCAAGCACACAGATGCAACACATCTACCTCTTCGAAAGGACTTCACTGAGCAGCACAGAAAGCTGAGATCTACACAAGGAGAAACAAGAAGGTTACAGAGGTGTCGTGGTGAAGGGAGAGCTGAGCTGCTCGAGGAAACAGGAGGGGTTTTCCCCGAGGAAGTTAAAGAAACATGGACACAAATCCTGTTTCCACAAGTTAAGGAAACTTTGCAAGCAAACCCCTTCTGAGCAGGGCACCTTCATCGTGCACAGCAAAATCCCCTTCCAGGTGCTGGAAGGTGAAAGCCTGAACTTTGAATTAGCTTTCCTTATGGAAAACTGCAGGAGTGTGGCCTGAGCCAATGCTCTCAATCACAGCAGCTGGAGATGGAGGAAAGCCCCCGAGATCAGGCAGCTGGCCCCTGCCAGCCCAGAACAGAGCCCTCCAGAGCAAGATAAAGCACTCACAAGCACTTGATCCTGGCTGGAAGGGCGAGCAGTGAGGGATGATGGTGAAATTCCCTGCATCAACAGATCTGCTAGAACCATGCAATGGGTTGGGTTGGAAAGGACCTGAAGATCATCAAGTTCCAACCTCCTGCCATGGGCAGGGACACCTCCCACTGAACCAGGGCACCCAAGGCTCTGTCCAACCTGGCCTTGAACACTGCCAGGGATGGAGCATTCACAACCTCCCTGGGCACCCATTCCAGTGCCTCAGCACCCTCACAGTGAAGAACTCCCTCCTTAGATCCAATCTAAACTTCCCCTGTTTCAGTTTTAACCCATTACCCCTTGTCCTGTCACTACAGTCCCTAATGAAGAGTCCATCCCCAGCATCCCTATAGGCCCCCTTCAGACACTGGAAGCTGCTCTGAATGCACTGCCCTGCATCGGCACCACTGAATGCTCTGCCCTGCATCCGCACATCTCACACAGGAGCCTGGTGCTGGAGGTGCAGGATGGGCGCTCAGCGGCTGCTGCTCGGGTGCTGGTGCCAGGCTGGGCGAAGGGCCAGGGGAGACCCAATCCCTGCCACGTTATCCGGACACTTGTGGCCGCTCTGCAGCAGCAGGAAACCCTTCCTCAGCCTCTCATCACCAGCGCTGTGGCAGGAGGGCAGCAGCCCCGGGCACACCAGAGGCAGCCTCAATGGAGAGCAGTTTCCATGCACAGGCTCAGCAGCATTCCCAGGGTCCCCAGGAGAGGTCTGCAGCCAGGAACGAGCCCTAAATCCAGTTCAAAACCAAACCAAGCAACAGTGCCTTCTACAGAGCTGAGAACGATCCCCAGAGGGGTCTAGGTTGCCCTCCATTGCACAGGTCATGCACACCAGCACTGCCTCCCCTTGCAACCGTGGCCCCACTGTTGGGGCTCATCCCAGCGCCCTTGGGCAGCTTCATCCGACCCCAACAGAACCCCCCAGGGCTGGGGAAGGGGACGTTCTCCTCCACAGCACAGCAGGCCCTGAGCAAGGAACAGCAGTCACAAGAGCACCGGCAGTGCCCGTGTCTGGACGTGCACAGAGCCCATCTGACACCAGAGTTAGGGCCTCCACTGAGCACAAACCCCATCAAACCCACTGAAACCCCCTGAGGCACAGGATGCCCTCAGCACCAGGGATGGAGAGCAGAAGGCAGGACCAAAGGGTGGAACCTGCACACAAAAGGCAGCATCCACAGCCCCAGCATCCCTCTGCAGGGAGCAGCAGGGACCAGAGCCCAGCAGCACAGAGCAGCCACAGGAACGCTGTGGTCCTGGCTATGGGGCTGCTCGGGACAGTGAGAGCACCCCACAAGTGAAAAGGACAAACATGAGGGAGCAGGATCAGCACAAGCATCTCCAGCCCCAGGGCAGAGGCTGGGGATGAGGCACGGCCCAGGCAGCA